GCCTGGTCGATCCAGGCTCCTGTCTAGGAGGAGGCGCCCAGTGACCGTCTGGGAGGTCTTTTTAGTCCCCTCTGTCCAGGGCGCATGAAAGCCTGCGGTGAGCGGGGAGGCTTGGACCTGAAAGGTGGACTCCGCTCACTTCTGTTTCCCTCTGGAGTCTGGCCTGGGGGCTTAGGTGCTGGGCTGCCCACTGTGGCGCTCTAGTGACTGGGTATGGGTACCAGCTCCAGCCTTCTCACGTTCCGCGTGACAGTGGACCAGAAGCTTAGCCCCTCTGAGCCCCGGTTCTGTCACTTGTCAGTGGAGGTGATTATAGGAAGTCCTGTCTCGGTGACGTACCGTGGGGGTGACGACACGGCCCCTTGGGGTAAAGTGGGAGCCCTTTAAGTTTCATTTTAGTGTGTTTGAGGATCCGGGGGGTAGAGAAAGGTGGGTGGCAGAGAAGGTTTGCCCAGGCCAGGACCTCGGAGTCAGACAGGTGCCTGGTGAGGTGGCAGCACGGTGCCACCCAGCTGGCCTCACTCTTCCCAGGTGGTGCCCCGGACATGGCCTGCGGGATGGGCTACTGGTGGTGACACCAAGGCGTGACCCAGCGACAGAGTGGACGTGCACAGAGCCAGCCCCAGCTGTGGTGGCCCCAGGACAGCAGAGGGGATTGTCCCTGCTGCTCCCTGTAGACTCCTGAGGTTGTCATGGAAAGACTGGAGGTGCCCGGAGAAGAAGGTCCAGATGTAGGGGACACCAGGGTGGCGTCCATGAAAGGTCAGGGAGAATCCAGGAGAAGTCGCCCCTGCGGGGATCCCAGGGAGTGCAGAGGTGCCTCTGGACAGTGGGCGCCRTGGACAGGGTCTTGACGGTGACGGTGACCCTCCCGAACTCGGCTCTCCCCAGCAAAATCTTATTTCTGGGTATTTCATTTCTCTTGTTGGGCAGAAATCAAGTTATGTTTAAATTAATTAATTAAATTTAAATGGAATTTGATTTTCTCCTTGGGGCGGGGCAGCTGGCCCACAGGCTGAGGACGCTGCTGGGACCAGGATCCGGGAGCCACTAGCCCCCAGATGTCCCCCAGGGCCTGGGATGAGCCCGTCACCACCCGRGACAGGGCCCTTCCTTGAGCGGATGCCCCAGGCCTGGAATGTGGAAGGTCTGCCTAGAAGGTCCTCGCATTCCAAGCTGCGCATCTGCAGATGAGAAAGTGCGGCCTGGCCGGAGGGCGGTCAGAGTCCAGCTCTGCAGGTCACCAGGGCCTCCTCTCCACAGCGGAGGTCCCCAGCCTCTGGGTCTCAGGCATCTTGGAAATGTGGCCCTGGGCTGAGAAAGTCCCACCAGCGCAGGCCCCGGCTAGGCAGCTGCCCAGGTCACGTGCCCGGGGCCACGGCTTGGGGTCCCTCTGGTCCCGTTTCCCATATCGAAAAAATAGATCTGGAATGTCCCTCTCCAAATTTGGAAATGGCTAATAAAAGAGTTGCCCAGAAACGGAGAAGACAGATGTCTCTTACCCTTTTTATGTTCTCTCCCCTGTGGGGAGGCTGGGCACGGAGTCTGTTCTTTAGGTGGACAGTGGAGGGCCACCTCAGGGTCCTGATGACAAAGGCCAACAACTGGGATGGGGAGGAGACCCTTGTTCCTTTATTCCCCACGAGGCTCCCGTAACTGTGGCCACCTGGACTCACCAGGACTGCCTTGCTTGATCCGTGGGTTGACCGCCCTGCCCCTGGGCCACCAAAGGGAGTCCAGGGCCGCATGTGCGTGTGGCAGGCCTTCTCCAGTCTGTCCTGAAAAGGGGCAGCCATTACCCCGCTATGCAGGGCCCTGGGCCTGGGCCGGGCTGGACCTGGGCCTCAGGGCTTTGGGTGGTGACTGCGGGAGCCTGGGGAGGGCCTGGGGACGATGGCCTAGGGCTTGAGCAGATCCTTCTGGGGCTGGGAGAGGTGAGTAGGTGGCCTCCCGTCCCCTGTGGGAAGCCAAATTAAGACAGCGAGGTGGTGGCCAGGGACGGGACAGGACAGCCTTTCCTAGCTTCGGGGCCTGGGCGGAGGAAGGCTGTGGAGTCCATTTAGAAAACTTCTGCACCAGGGGCCTGTGGGTGGGTGTCTTTACAACTCTGCTGTGGCCCTGGTTTTCCCAGGTTTGTAAATGCATCTGATGCCAAAGCTGAGCTGGGAAGGGCTGGGGCAGGACGTGGCCCGGCCAGCGGGGTGGGGGAGCTCAGGGCAGGAGGCCGAGCGCCGTCCCCCTTCACCCTGCCTTCACGCCTGGGGCAGCCCACACCCACACCTGGGTGTCACACTGTGGTGGCCGGGTCCCCTCCTCCTGGCGGCCGTCGCAGCTGGGAGCCTGTGGAGTCACTGGGCAGTTTGACCCGCCGTCTGCACATCCTGGACGCGGGGACCCTGTCCCCTCCCGCCGCCGCAGCCCACGGTGATATTTCAGGCACACGCTGGCCTTATCTGCCCTTGTCATTTTGTACATGACTCAGTCCTCGTCAGTAGCGTGGGCTGGTGTGGGCCTGCCTTCCTGTGACAGGAAGGGACGCGCATCCTGCACGGCTCTGTGCGCCGCGGGAGGTGGCCGCCGACCTGCTCCTGGGCTGGGAACTTGAGCGAGGCCGTCGCTGGGCGCGGGTGCTGGGCCACCGGGAGCTGCGCCCGCCGGGACCTGGCTCTGGGGCTGGGCGGCTGGGCTCCCGGTTGTGGGTGGGCGAGCCGCCACACACCTCCCCTGCGCACAGCCCCCCCACGAGACCCCCTGTGGTCTTGTGGAAGTCCCCCTCTGCCCTCTGCTCGTCTTCCTCTGCGGCCCGATGCCCATCGCCCCCTCTACACCCGGGCTGGGGGCCTCCCTGCTTCTCTCAGACCTGGCTATCCGCCTCCCAGGCTGAGTCCCTCTGTGACCTCCATGGCTCCCGTGGCTCTGAGCACTCTTGTGTCAGAAACGACGGTGACGCAGCGTGTTTAACAGCCGCTTTGTAAAGAGGTGAGGTTGACAGTGTGTCTCACAGACCTCAGCAGATCGACACCAGGGTCCAACATAAAGCATCAGAGGGCTGGACCGCCCAGCCACATCCCAGCCCCTTGCTCTTTCCTTTGGGGACTGTGTCTCACTGAGCCGCCCAGGCCGACCTTGAACTCGCGATCCTCCCGCCTTAGCTTCCCAAGTCACTGGGTCCTCTACACCGACTTGTTCCTGCCGAGTTGAGAGCCCAGGTGTGATCTGCGTTGACACCACGTCAAGTTGGAGCTTTGACCTGTACTCAAGAATTCACCAGACTTGTTTAATTTTTATTTTTCAACATTTATTTAGTGAAGATGAATACACAGTGTCTTATTTATTTATGGGTGGTGCTGAGGATCGAACCCCGTGCCTCACCCGCGAGGCGAGCGCTCACCCCTGAGCGCCAGCCCAGCCCCGAGTTCCCCAGACCCCCTGCTGAGAACCAGCTCCCACTCCCAGACTTAGGTGAGGAGCTTTCCCAGGGTTGAGCTACGACGTTGGGCTTTTGGTTGTGGGTTCCGCTGGGTTGACCCTGTACCACGGAGCTACACCCGCAGCCCCAGTTTTTAATCTTATTTATTTATTTATTTTTTTATTTTCAAGAGAGAGAGAGAATTTTTTTTAATATATATATATTTTTAATTCTCAGCAGATTCACAACATCTTTGTTGGTATGTGGTGCTGAGGATGGAACCCGGGCCACACGCATGCCAGGCGAGCGCACTAACGCTTGAGCCACATCCCCAGCCCAGTTTTTAAACTTAAATCGCGCAAACTCAGATGCACTGGCTGCGTCTCGGGCACACGTCCACACCTTGTGGCTGCCACTGCACCAGCCAGTGCAGCTGGAGATGATGCAGTCCTGGAGCAGGAGGCTCCTCCAGGATTCTCCCCTCCCCCTGGGCTTGCCCTGTGCCCAGGCGCCCGCCCTCTGCTCCGTCTCTCCTGAGACATGTTTGAATGGCTCTTCTAACACAGTGGCCTGGGCCCCGCCCAGCTGGGAAAACAGCCACACAAAGGCCAGCACTGTCCCCTCCAGCTGCCCCCCTGGCTGCCGGGCAGCAGCGTCAGGCAGAACACACCCGGGCGCAGGGATGTCATTCTAGGCGGCAGCCGCTCTGCCAGGGGTGGGAGACCGGTTTTTTTTGCCCTCACAGCTGCCCGGGGCTTGCTTTCCTGAGTGGACCTGGCGTGGGCCTGTTGGCGTTTTCAAAAACTCTGACATGCAGAACAGGCCCGCCTCGCTGGCACAGCCCGCATCTGCACCAGCAAACCCGTGACGCCCCAGGACTCCCCTCCACCTCCCGTAGACTCTCCCTCCCCCGGTGTCAGCGCGCCCTCGGGTCCCCCCAGGGGTCTCTTTCTCCCGGGCACCGTGCACTTGGGACGTGGGGCTTCTGCTGGGCACTCTGACCTGGAGAGTGTGCGGCTGGTGTTTGGAAGACTTGAAAGGATTAGTGGGAACCACGGGGTTCAGAGAAGAAATGGGGCTGGGGCTGGGCTCAGAGGCCGAGCCCTCGCCTCGACGTGCAGGGCCTGGGTCCTTCCTCAGCACCACATAAAATAAACAGAGTAAAGTCATGGTGTCCACTACAAAAGGTAAGTGAGAGGAAACGGCCAGGCGCGGTGGAGCTGGCCCGGGAGGCCGAGGCAGGAGGGTCACGAGTTCAAAGCCAGCCTCAGCAAAAAGGGAGGCGCTGAGCCACTCAGTGAGACCCTGTCTCTAAGTAAAATGAACGTGGGCGGGGGACGGGCTCAGTGGTGCGCGGCCCTGGGTTCAGTCCCTGGTGCCAGGTGTGGACGGCGACCTCATGGGGGTGGTCTGGTCATGTTGCCGAGGCTCTCACGCTGACTTTGCTCTTGCCTCTGGAGGCCCTCGTGGAGAGCGTGGGTCTGGCAGGGACAGTGCCCCCTGCCCTTGGACAAGGCTGGACACGTCACTTCTTCACAGCAAGGGGCCGGCCCTTGAACTTCTCACCTGGTGTCTCCTGTTTGTGTTTTAGATAAGATGTCGGTTCCAGGACCTTACCAGGCAGCCCCCGGGCCCTCCTCGGCGCCAACCGCACCCCCGTCCTACGAAGAGACGGTGGCCGTTAATGGCTACTACCCAACGCCTCCTGCGCCCGTGCCTGGGCCGACCACGGGGCTGGTGGCCGGCCCGGATGGGAAGGGCATGAGTCCGCCTTCCTATTACACCCAGCCCGTGCCCGTCCCCAACGCCAACGCAAGTACGTTGCCCCCTTGCTGTCCCTAGCTCTCCGCCCGGCCTGTGGCCTGGGATCAGGAGAGTCAGAGTGCAGTGCTGGGCAGCTGACTCCATCCCCGACCCCGAGAGGTCACGTGGGGTTTCAGACCCACGCTGCGAGGCCCCTGGGTTTGAACTGGGATGGGTCCCAGGGGTGCGCAGCCAGCGAGCCGCACCCGGCCCTGTTTTTCTTTTTATGTTTATGTTTTAGTTGAAGGTGGGCACAAGACCTTTATTTTGTTTCTGTGGTGCGCTGAGGATCGACCCGGTGCCCCCGTGCCAGGCGGGCGCTCTGCCTCTGAGCCCCAGCCCAGCCCTCCCTCTCTACGCGGTAGTCAGGGCCTCGGCCTCCCCAGGCCTGAGAGTTCTCGATGGCGCCCAGGCACCACGCCTGCCTCCGACCTGCCCCCCACCTGCCACCCCAGGGGGATTTGGGAACGGGAGTTTGTGGTTAAGGACCCACTCTTCCTGCTGGGGCTTGAGAGCCCCCGTCCCCTAGGCCAGGGCGTCCCCTAGGCCAGGGCGTCCCCTAGGCCAGGGCGTGGGCAGTGAGGTGGCCCAGGAGAGGCGGGTGGGCAGCACCCTCCCGGCCCCTCTGTGCAGGTGGTGCTGCTGCCCTGCAGGGCTTCCTGCGCGGGGTCTGATCCAGGGAGAGGGAGGGGAGGGTCAGCCTGCCCAGGTCACTGAACGTCCTCAGCTGCTTCTTTGTAGGGCAGGCCTTGGCGAGTCTCCACCTCAGTGGAATGTTAGAAAGGAAATCAGGGCTCCTGAGCCCAGGGAGAGCCTCTGTCTGTGGATAGGTGCTGGGCTGGGGAAGAGGACCAGTGACCACTGTAGGCGTTCAGTACACCCTGACGAGCGGGCACGGTGGCACACACCTGTCGTCCCAGCAGCTTGGGAGGCTCAGGCGGGAGGATCGAAAATTCAAGGCCAGCCTCAGCAACTTAGCCAGCTCCCGTATCAGGATTGAAGAAAAGGACTGGGGTGTCACTTGGTGGTAGAGCACACCTGGGTCCAATCCCTGTGCCACCAAAAACAAGTAAACGAACAGACTTTGTGCTGATGATAAATAACTTATTCCCGAACCAGAAAAGGAGTGAGTCTTCTTCACAGGCTTCGGTGCTCTCCTCTGGGAGGAGGACCTCGCTCGAGGTCCAGTGCCCTCTGGGCAGTCCTTAAGTCCCCCAGAGCAGCCTCACCCGTGGCCTCCTAGGGACATAAAAAGGAGAAGAAGAAGTCACTTGACCAGACACTCGGGCTCTGGTAACTCGAGTGCGGAGCAGTTCCCTCCCAGAGCGTCTTGTGATGGCCACATGCCTGTGCGTGGGGTCCCTCACGTCACCTCATACGCTCTCCTCGTGACCCGGGCTGCAGCCATCCCCCGGAGCTGGGTGCATGGTCCCTGCTCTCACGACTGCCCCGTCATGCACCCTGGACTCCCATCCAGGGTCTGTGAGGCCGGGCCTGGGGGCACACGCCTGTCAGTGGGTGCTCCCGGGCGGGCGCTGCTCGGGCGGGCCTGGGGCAGGGCCGGCATCCCGCCGTTCTCAGTGGACAGGGCAGTGGGAGGACCTGCTGTCTGTCTCCTGTGTGAGGTCTTGAGAGCCCTGGAGTAGGGTCCCACGAAGGTGCCCCATTTCCTCTACCAGCTTCTTACTTTTGTGTGTGTGGTACGTGGGCCTGGAGCGGCGCTCTCCCACCGAGCCCCTTCCCACTGAGCCCCCTCCCAGCCTTTTTGTTTTTTATTTTGAGGCAGGTCCACTAGGTTGCTTAGGGCCCGGGTGAGTTGCTCAGGGTGGCCTTGAGCCCCTGCCTCTCGGCCTCTGGGATTGCAGGCCTGGCCACTGCCCGCTGTCTCTTCCTTGACCGTGAAATCTCCAGACACACAATCCTCGACCTTTAGGAGGCAGCTCTGTGGCCTCAGGTACAGAGTTGTGCGGCCATCCCGACCACCCGTGTCCAGACTGGTCGTCTCCCCAAACCGAAATGCCCCCTGGACACTAACATCTAAGTCCTGCCCCACGGGCCCTGGCCACGGCCGTGCCAYGTTTCTGTATTCGACTGCCCTGGGACCTCCTATAAGTAGAACACGACATTCTGTCGTGGCTGGCTCGTGCCACCCTGCCCCATGTCCTGGAGGTCATCCACGTTGTGGCCAGCGAATGTGGGAGTCTCCTTTTCTGAAGCTGATGTCCACCACGTGGACTGACCACGTTTAGCTGATCCGATTGCCAGTGGACAGACCCCCCMGCCTCGGGGTGGGCCAGGTGTGAGGGCGTGGCTCTGGGCGTGGCCAGCTGCGTCTCTCCGCGGAGCCCAGCCAAGGTGTCTCCCTCCTCCCCCCAGTTGCCGTGCAGACCGTCTACGTGCAGCAGCCCGTGACCTTCTTCGACCGTCCGGTCCAGATGTGCTGCCCGTCGTGCAGCAAGATGATCGTGACCCAGCTGTCCTACAACGCTGGCGCCCTCACCTGGCTCTCCTGCGGGAGCCTGTGCCTGCTGGGGTGAGTCCTGCCGCGGGGCTGAGGCTGGGGCTGGGGTGGACCCAGGGCCTGGCCCCGTAGGCCATCGCTCCTCCCCTGGGCTGCACCCATCCCATGGGAAACGGGGCGCATCCCTGACCTGTCCCCACTGGACCCCCGCCCCCCCCCCGCTGCGTTGCACCCCAGATGCCCTGGGGTGCAGACCCCGCCGGCTGGGAGCCCCGCACCTGAGCGTCCACCCCTGCTGCAGCAGGGACCCACAGGCTCCTGAGCGTCCGCCCCTCCTGCAGAGGGACCCACTAGGACCCACGGGCTCCTGAGCGTCCGCCCCTCCTGCAGAGGGACCCACCAGGGACCCACGGGCTCCTGAGCGTCCGCCCCTCCTGC